TGGATGGGTGGATGGATGAATAGTATAAAGCTGCCCATTTACAACAGATCTATGACAATTTGTACAGACCAATTTACCATGGCCAACTTGCCACAACCAACGTGACACAGTCAACTTGACACAGCCAACTTACCATGGCCAACTCGCTGCAGGACAACTTGCCACAACCATCTTGTCACAGGACAAGTCACTGTGGGACACTAATATCAAAGAAATTGTGGATTAGAATCATTAAAGAAAGGATGCAAAAGGAGGGACAGAACAAATCGTGAATGACAAAAAATAAAATATTTTTTTCTTTTAAATAATCAAATTGAATTGTTAAATTGACCTATAGCAAGTTATCTCATAGCAAAGTTACCATGGCTAATTGTCCCGCAATGAGTAGGTTATGGTGAGTTGGCTGTGGCAAGTTGTTCCATTCCAATTTACAGCAACAAATGCTACTAAAATACATTTCAAAGATGTTTTGATTGACATACTGCATCCAGTATACTGCATTCATATTCTAGAGCAGTAGTATATATATTTTTAAAAAAAACTTTGTTCCGAATGTCCATTGACTTATAGCAGAAGTCTGTAGACCTCTACTCAGAAGTAAATGCCATTTATTTAAAGGAGGATGATTCCCATGGACATCAGTTTTCAGCCCTTTCTTTCCAAAAGAAAGGCCGGACTTTTCTTGGTTATTTGGTGGGAGGGGAATCACTTGGGAGAAACGTTCAGTCTGATTGCATGCTCTACACATAGATCTGCATCAACATTACCGATTCTGGCAGAGTCAGACATGATGACAGATCATAAACATGAGTGACAGCAAGATCCTTTGATGTATGAAATGTTTTCCTCTCCCATTCCAGCCCAGCATCTGCTGATGGTAGAATGAAGAGCTGCAGATTGGAGAATTGGAGTGAATAGGATAGCCCTGCCTAATAAATTCAACAAATTCAGCAACACAGGAAGTAAGGTAACTCCATGGAATGGATTTCCTCAAGGAAAGGAAATGTTGGAGGGTGTGGAGGAAAAGCTTCAAAAATGTTAGCTTGAATCGTGCCAGAAAATACACACACATAAAAAAAAAACATCCATCTCAAGATGAGTGCTGGATAAATATTAAAAAGACTTAGAGATCATTAGATTCTTTCCCTGCAAAGAATAATAATTAAAACATTTACCAGATGGAAAAAAAGAACTATTTTTAAAAAATAAATTATCTATAACATAAGGAGGTCATCTTAGAAATAATAAGAATTTTTTATGGGTGATTTTCTTTTTTTGGGAAAGGCATGTTAATGTTAGGCTTACTTTTAGATAAATGCAGGAAGGATGCACCTAATATATCAAGCAAAATCCAGCTGCCGCTGTTAAAGTACATGGAGGGAGAGATGGATGAATATTCTTATTTTTATAGTTACCCAATTCTTCTTTTATTCTTTCTGAGATGATTTCCTCCACCTCCATCATAAAACCAACCCTTAGATTTTGTGAACCTATTATAAATAACAATGCATGGTTGATCATCCAAAGCCCTGTCTAAAGACAGAGGCAGGCGTATGATTTGATATAGCCATTATAACCTGAGATGAAGGCATAATTCTTTAGCCATTAATGTCACTGACCAAGGTGGTTTGTCAGGTTTTTGGAGCAGTAAGAAATCCTGCCTAGCCCTGTGTTTTTTGAACCACAACTACTTCAAGATGTGTGGACCTCAACACCCAGGATTCAAAATTATAAATTATTGAGTGTATTATTTGTACTTCTATAACTGTCTGGTTTGGCACAGCAACCAAACAGGACAAGTACAGATTCCAATCACTAATGGTTTTCTCTTATCTTCACTATCAGTTCGGAACTGGGAGCATGCGCATGCACAGAGTGTCCGTGATGACATCTGGACAGGTGGGTGGAGCCCCCTGCCGCTGCTACCAGTTCGCCTGAACCAGGGCGAACCAGCAGAATACAACTTTTGATTACAATGGATAGTGAGGACTGAAGAAAAAACAATGGCAACCAGCTGGGTTTCCATAGAAGACCTACATATTGGAAGAAGCGCTAAGAATATATATGCAGATCTCTCACATCCTGGACATAAAGTTTTCAACTCTTTCTCTCAGAATGGCACTATAGGACATTGCATACCAAACATCTAGACACAGGGACAGTTTCTTCCCTCGTGCCAAAACTCTGCTGAACACCTAATTCTCTCAGCATTGCCTAATGTCTTTAACCTATGTACTGTGACTGTTGCATTCTTATTTATCCTTATTATCTTCCTTACACCCCCTTTTATTGGCATTATTGTTATTATTCTGTCATTTTGTATGTATACTGAGTGTTTTTGTAATAGAGGCAAATTTCTTGTGTGTGACTTGGTGAAAGGCACAGTGGTTCAGTGGCTTAATGATGCTGGAGATGATTTCTGCTCCAACAGTTTGAGTCCTAGCACTCCACGTTGGGGTGAGCTCCCAATACTTGCTTCAGCTTCTTTCTACCTAACATCATTTGAAAGCATGCGAATAGATTAGCTAGGTACCACTTTGGTAGGAGACGATAGGGCTCCATACAGACGGTCAAATTGCTGCACTCTGAACCTTCCCGATTGTGGCACTCATTTCTGAGGCAGCTCCAGGGAGAGGGAGCACCGCAGGAAGAGCCAAACTACTACTATGCAATAGCATTGTTGTCTCTTGGCTAATGTAACAAATAATGTATACTAATCATCACAAATACCATAAAGCAGGGGTATCAAACTCAAGGCCCACAGGCCAGATTCAGACCATGGGGTACTTAGCAATAGCAATAGCAGTTAAACTTATATACTGCTTCATAGGGCTTTCAGCCCTCTCTAAGCAGTTTACAG